TTGGACAATTCAAGTTCAACGGCAGTTCGTTCCTAATTGGAGTGGTTGGTGTATTCCATACTTCTAGCATTTGGATTTCACGCAAAACACACCAAATGACTCCTCCCACCATATTATGATGTTGCCCAAGTTTTGGGCTCGATCCGAAATCAATTGGTGTCAGAAATTGGACAATTCAAGTTCAAAGGCAGTTAGTTCCAAATTGGAGTGGTTGGTGTGGTTCTAGTGATTGGATTTCACTCAAAAACTCGCAAAATGACTCCTCACATCGTATTATGATGTTTCCCAAGTTTTGGGCTCGGTCCGATATCAATAGGTGTAAGAAATTGGACAATTCAAATCGAAAGGAAGTTCGTTCCAAATTGGAGTGGTTAGTGTATTGCATAGTTCTGGCGATTGGATTTCACTCAAAACTATCCAAATAACTCCTCCCACCATATTATGATGTTTCCCAAGATTTGGGCTCGATCCGATATCAATAGGTGAAACAAATTGGACAATTCAATTTGAAAGGCAGTTCGTTCCAAATTGGAGTGGTTGGTGTATTTCATAGTTCTAGCGGTTGGATTTCACTCAAAACCCAGCAAATGATTCCTCTCACCATATTATGATGTTTCCCAAGTTTTGGGCTCGATCCGATATCAATAGGAGAAAGAAATTGGACAATTCAAGTTCTAACGTAGTTCGTCCAAAATTGGAGTGGTTGGTGTATTGCATAGTTCTAGCGATTGGATTTCACTCAAAACTCACCAATTGACTCCTCCCACTGTATTACGATGTTTCCCAATTTTTGGGCTCGATACGGTATCAATAGGGGTAAAAAATTGGACAATTCAATTTCCAACGCAGTTCGTTCCAAATTGGAGTGGTTGGTGTATTGCATAGTTCTAGCGATTGGATTTCACTCAAAACTCACCGAATGACTCCTCCCACCATATTACGATGTTTCCCAAGATTTGGGCTCAATCCGATATCAATAGGTGTAAGAAATTGGAGAATTGAAGTTCCAACGCAGTTCGTTCCAAATTGTAGTGGTTAGTGTATTGCAAAGTTCTAGCGATTGAATTTCACTCAAACCCCCACCCCTGTTTTCTTCTTCCTCTAGCCGCACCTCCCTTCACCATAACCCACCACCATCCGACCACCGTAGGACGCCGGACCAGCCCAGAAAGGACCAGCGACATCTCAGCAGCTCAGCCCGACCCTTTCCCCGTCGCCTGCCGCCACGAATCGCCAGAGAGAACCAGAAAATCGCGTCAGTTTTGGCAGAATTTCGTCGGCTCCGTTCGTCGTCATCCGGCCACCAAATCGGATGAATTAGGTATGGAAATTCGACTGATTTTCACGTTCTAGCTGTTGGTTGGGTAGGTTTTAAGGAATTTTGAGGTTTGAAGGGTTAATTCATGATTTGAAATTCTGCCAGTTTGAGAGCTCGGGTTCAGTCATTTCCGGCCACTTTTTGGCCATAGTCCAAGAACAAAACTGGTTCCAAATAGGGTGTTTTACCTAGACTAGAAGTTTGGGTCGGCGGTTTGGAGATTTTCCGGCTGCCGGAATTTACTATGCACACCCACGCGCTGCCGGCGCGTGGGCGGCGCGTGGACCAGGTAACACGAGCCACTCTTGGTCCTAGAATAATCCTCGTGTCCTCACGAGCGCGTAGGATTTCGCGGATCTCAATTCGGATAACGTTTGAACCCCAAACGGATCTCGCATAGTGTGCGATTTCCGGGTTCAATACGTTCAGACCGTTGGATCATAGCCAAACTGGAGTATGTTGATCAAGGTATTTTAAGGGTCGTGTAGGATTCAACAGATCGTTAATCGGAGTCCTGGATACTCCGAAAAGGCCAACCCTAGGGTTAGTATTACGGAAATCTTTCATCCGTCCGATTGTACGATCGTGAGTAATCCGACCGTCCGATCGAGACCAAACTTTCGGGACATGTGTCCTAGGCCTATTGGAACCTCTAGGAATGTTCGGATTGGAATTCTGAGGTCGTGGACCCCACGGGATCCCGAGTTGACTTTTAGGGACTTTATCGCTTTTGAGTCCCGAGATACTTCTAAAGCGTGTCCACTGAGAGGAAAAGCTAATGTGGGTATAGGAATGCCTTTTAAAGTGATGCACGCACTTTTAGGAGCCGGGGGTCGTACGATCGTGAGTAATCCGACCGTCCGATCGAGACCAAACTTTCGGGACATGTGTCCTAGGCCTATTGGAACCTCTAGGAATGTTCGGATTGGAATTCTGAGGTCGTGGACCCCACGGGATCCCGAGTTGACTTTTAGGGACTTTATCGCTTTTGAGTCCCGAGATACTTCTAAAGCGTGTCCACTGAGAGGAAAGGCTAATGTGGGTATAGGAATGCCTTTTAAAGTGATGCACGCACTTTTAGGAGCCGGGGGTCAGGGTTTTTAATTTAATATTATTTTCCTGAGCAGATTTATTAATAAAATATTCATAATGGTTATTCAGGCACCCGGGCACCAGGTGACCCGCAGGAGGGACCTTCAAAGGGTCTAGCTAGCTCAGAGTACCTGTGAGTGGACCTTTTTGTTTTCATAAATGAATTTATGCAACTTTATCTCATTATTTGATCTTGAATAAGTTTTACTGAATACAGCTTTCCTAGCATGACTTGATAGATTTAAATATTTCTGTTTATTTATGTGCTGCCTAGTGGAACATTTAAAAAGGGATTTGGAAAGTTAGAACTGAGGTATTATCAGATTAAATGGCAGCAGGATTTAAGGAATAGTTTTATAAGTAGTTTTATAAACTTTGATTTTTTTTAGAATGATATATATATACATTTATTTTAAGCCACCATAGGTACCCAAGGTTGCCTTCAGTATAATAAATGTTGCCTCGGAAATAAAGTTGCCTTCGGAATAATATTATGTTGCCTTCGGTTATAATGATGTCGACGGACATCCAGTTGCCTT